ATTATTATTATTGTTATTATTATTATTAATTATTATTATTATTATTACTTTAATCTCGCGCTCCACATTATACGGGGTATGCAGGAATCAAGGTTTTCTTAGCTCTAGGGTGCGATGGTCCGTAGGAATCAGATCACTTGGTCCAAGAGAAATATGCTTTATGTGTTTGACAAATTACTTTGGATGATTGGAAGGAATTTTGATTTAAAAAAAATCTTTTCTAGACGATGATTTTTCATTTCCTAGAGAATTTTGTTTTACTACCTGAAAGGAAGTAAATATCGGCAGTAAACTGGTTCCGTCGGAACGAAAGAAGTTTGATATTTTTAACAAACAAGTTTGCTAAAGTGAAAATTCCTTTCGAAATTACTTTCAAGGAACCACAAGTTTATATTTCCCGCTTTTCACTTTTTTCTCCCTTCCGAGTGAAAAATATAGCGGAAAATAAATTCTTAGAACATTTTTTGAAGTGATTTTCATTGCAGAATGTCAGACTATTACTTTATGCGCGTCATTAGAGCTCAATATTTAGGATTCAAGTTTGATTCAGATTGAAATATTTCTGATAGCGTAATGAAATTTAGTCATACATGATCTGGATTTGAACCAAAAACATCTGTGCAGTTGATGTTTAATGTAGAAAAAATTCTGAAATGAAACGAGATAAAGACAAATCTTTAATTATGGCTGTGCAAATGGTGGCATTCAGAAGTTTGTGGAACTATGGGAAATCAAAAAATATGGTCCTCGGTTGAATCATGGGACGAAATGATCCTTTTTTTCAGTCAACGAAAGTATCCCTTTTGCTGTGTGACATCTCCATCACATAAATAATTTCATCATCCCCTTCTGAAGATTAACATATCTGATCCATTTCGGTTATTTCTGGCTATAGTAGAACTCTGATCTCTTTCGCATTTATTTAATAAATTGATTATTTGTACAAGTTTACAAGTTTCAAGATGATCGGTTGAACTTCAATCATTAAGGAATATCTCATTCAAATATCTGACGGATAAGATGAGAGATGGGAAAATTAAACTAGAGGCGAAAGAAATTCGAGTTTTTTCTTTTCTCGCCGCGCATACCCTTTCTTGAACTGGTCATCTGAAAACTGATCCTCTCAATTGAAGATAGACCAATTACACAGTTTCGTTTCAGTGAATGCATTAGAAATCTCCCCTCGATCATTGAATTCTATTATAATCGCCGTGTTAAACACGCATTGCGAGCAGTTCTGAAATACGATTTGCAATATGCAAATTTAATAATTGAGCAGCTGATAATCGTGCGGTGAGAATAAAAATTTTTTTCATGATATATTATTTTCTACTTACTAGGAATTCTGAAGAAAGTTTACTCATCCTGACAGGGGAGGCTTTCCCAATAGTTACTACGGCTCATGGACTTCCTCTACAACTGTCAACTTTAATGTTTGAAATAAAAGTGACATTGTTATCGGAGTCAAAATGCAATCAGTTTACGTTACATCAATCTTTTACGCGAATCACGCGAATTTCAATGTCGTATCCTTGTAGAGGTAATCGTCATTCATAGTAAATTTCTATTTAACATAGATGAAAAAAGATTTTCATGTGTGTCTACCAGTGGAAGCTATTCTGAATCAGTGCATATTCTCCTATAATTAATGATTGCAACTTTGATTATGCTGTAATTGACTTTATTTAATCAGTCAGATTCGAAGATAACAGCACTAATAACAATATCATCATCAACAAACGATATTACGCTTATATATATATATATATATATATATATATAGCAA